TGATGGAAGACTACCAGGAACCAGGAGTAAGCGAGCTGGAGGCAGGGTTAGCGAGGACAGGATTCTGGTATCCAGGATTTTTCGGGAAGGACCTGGATTTTTAAGGAAGAATCCCGAGGAAGGGTTCGAGGACTTAAGGTTCGGTAGACTCGTCATAGACTCTCGAAGGGAAGGAGAGGGTTTTGAGGGGCGCATCAAGTCGGTGTCTCATTCGAGGGGGATAAATCGGGCATCGTTTAAGGAGAGACTCGGCAGGTGGAGGTATCGAGCACCGGAGCTCACCTCGACCTAACACAATTCATGAAGAGGAGTAGCTGAAGGCTCTAAGATGCAGAGGCCGCCGGGACCGTAAATCTCAAAGCCCGGGAACGGCTGGGAAACGCGAGAGAATCCCGCCGATCCGGCCGAGTTCGATTCTCGTTGGAGAGCTCCTCCATCTTTGGGACTTGAGATAGGTCTGGAGCGACCTATAAACGCGGCCGAAAGCAAAGCCCGCCGCCCTGGAACGGCGAGATTGAGGACAAGACCTGGAAGAGGAAGGATCCGAGGTACCCTCGATGAGTCGTTATCTACCTCGAGGCGTTAAAAGGCTGAAGAGCCACCGCTAGAATTTCCAATTCCCGGAGCATCCTGCAAAGAACCAGCCCAGGAGCGTCCATATTCCACCCGGATCCGCCCAATGGACCCAGGACCATCTATATCTCGAAAGACGCAGCCACGCATCCTCCAGGACCCTGCACCTAATCCTGCCGATTCCAGGTGTCGGGGATCGATTCGCCTCGAGAAGCCAGGAGCCCCTCAACCTTCGCCTCCTATAACCTCCTACAACCTAGAGGTAGGTCGAGGGCGCCCCATAAGTGCGAGTAAACGCGTCGCCGTGGTAAAACTCGAGTGAACTAACCCTTGGAGTAGGATCGAGTAGGTGCTACGAGGTGGGAAGGTTCGTCGACGACCCCGACACGAGGTCGTGTCACCTTTTAGGAGCTAAACCCACTAAAGGACCCGATCGTCGAATGCCTACCCCATATAATTTCATCCCCACCTTTGCCGATCCCATCACCAACACCGCACCCCATCGACCATCACCTTTTCCGACCACGACCAAACGCCCTCCCAAGTGACACCAAGAGACAACCCCTTGGTGACACCAAGCCCGGCAACCCGAGTTCACCTGATCACCGTTTCAAACAGGAAACCCGACTCCTGGTTCCGGGTCATCTCGAATTGAAACCGCGATGGGGTCCATCCCTGGACCGGAGGAGTCAATTCCCACCTAGCTTGAGCTCCCAAACAAAAATTCGGATCCTAGTTTCAGAGACGACGAAGTGTCATCGTCGACCGTCTTCCAATCTTCGCTGGGCTGGTTACCACCTCGGATGATCGGCGTCCGGATAATCGGCGATTAGCAGGGAGCAGTCATCCGAGGGTGCATAATCCCGCGGCATGGTAGGGAGCCGAGCAACCCCATCGATTCCGGGAGTCTGTCTCGCCGAGAAGCCGGAGTTCTCCAGGTGGGGCCCGTCGCCGCCTACCTCGAAGTCGCACTCGAATAATGGAATAACTGGCTGCCAGCTAATGGGCGTTCACGAGGAGATTATGCGAGAGTTAACTGAAATCTGTCTCGCGTATATGCCGGCGCCTCGAGGCGAAACGATATTACGCGCCCTGGGTGGAGGTGGGTGTACATAGACACGTATACGTACACGTATAAAGAGGGAGAGAGCAGGAGTTATGCCGGGAAGCCTCGCCTAGGAGCACGTAAGGACGTGGAGGATGAGCTCTTAGAGTGGGTGGTTTTGGGTGGTTGGGTCGTGGGTGGTTTTGGGTGGTGATGGGCGGCGTCGGGTGGTGCAGGAGATTGACGCGGGCCTCCTTAAACGCGGAAGGAAGGCATCGGGCGACGGCCCGGTTCGCTGCTGGAAGTCGATTGTTCTCCGCAACTGACTGTGTCTCATTACTTCAAATTGGTTGCCCGTAGACAATGGGGCGGTAATACGGTTTATCCGAAAGACGACGGCACCCCCTTCCGTCTATGCAGCCGTGGCCTCTCGGCTAGTTCGCCGCCTCCCTCTGGAACAAAGATTCCGCCAACAATGGACCCCGCGTGCACGTCCCGTCCTCGAAGGCGAATTCAAGATCAGGAGGAATCGGGGATTACGCGCAGCTGACGGATCCTGGGTGCTTCTCGGAGTTTGTTCCTCGGACCAGAGATGGGTCAAACTCGAGGCCGAAGACGCGCCTCCAACGTCTGACCTCCCCAGGACTCGTTAAGGACCTCCTTCGTCTTCCAGCACCAAACCCTACGACCGGGGCGTTTGAGGATTCCCGATGTAAGACCGGTGGAAGATGTTGCCGATCCTTTTCTTCGGCTGAACAAAGACTCCGCCAACAATGGGACACCAGGGAAATGTCCCTGTCTGTTGTCTCCTGTCTCCTGTCCCGGGTAGGGGGGAGTCCACGGATTGCGCGCAGCTGACGTTTTTAGTGAATCCCCGGAGAAGAATCATTGCCGTCAGTCCGTAGTGAATCTCGGGACAAAATAGAGGAGTCCTCGACTTGGACCGATGGGAAGTGGGCGCCTCGAGTCCCTTGAAGTCTTGGATCCTCGTTGGTTCCTCTTCGGTCCTCGACGATTCCCGATATCGAGTGGTCCTCTTCGGGTACCTGGTACCGTGGTCGGCGCCCACTTCTTACGATTGGCGGAATTAACCGGAACGACCAGTCGAAATCATTACCAAGTCAAATACCGAACTTGGCTAATTTGTTAACGGCCCCCCGGCGAAGTGGGCCGCGGCGCGGGACGTCGGCGGGACGTCCCGGGGATGAACGGCCGTCGGTCCGACCCAGTTCCCCAAGTTGGCACCTCGTTAAACGGTTCGACTCTCGACTTCGAGGATACCTCGCGGTGCAGACGCGGCCCCGAAGTCGGGCCCTGATTGACGCACCAACAAACTCGCGACTTCCCGAACTTCCCCGGCGGTATGACTGGCCGCTATTCCTGGAGCGGGACCGACGTCGGGGCGCCTCGAGAGCAAAAGGAAACCGACGACGTGATATTTCTTTACGGGACCAGAAGAGACGAATCCATCTCTGAAATTGCTACTACTTTCAGGACCAAACTAGGATACCTTGTTGGTACCTTGATGCAGCTCCCGCCCAAATTGATCAGTTCCTCAAGCGAGCAGATCATCGTGACAAATTCAAGAGATAGATCCACGGTCAACATTTCATTGTCCTATACGGAACTGTCAATTTCACGGGCGAAAGTTGATCGGATGAACTCGGGAATTGGGTCCCAGAGGGACAAGAGATGGAACTCCACGACGGAGTCAGAAAATTAATTGAAATCCCTCGGCCGATCCCCGGCGTGAGATGAGCTCTTCGGGAGGTTCTTCGGGATCGTTCTCCAGGATTGAAGAGTGTCTCGAGAGGAGGGAATAATCGCGGCCCTCGCTCGGAAAGCGGCCAATGGCCGTGTCGCTACTTTTGCCTCGCGTCCGGACACCTCCGGGTCCAGCTCTCCCCGCGACCCCCCGCTGACCTGTCCAGGGGGTCCCAAGTGGTCCCGCCACTCGTACGGGTGGACAAACTGTACGGGACCGGTCCTCGAAGCGTCTCGAGTCGGTGTCGAGTGCACCACCTGCACTCATCTTTGTGTAACTGTTTGCCCGACCTCGAGGACGGGACCATTTACCATAACGAGGAGAACGGAAGCTAGGACCCCTTGGCCCGGACCTGCCGACAATGGCGCCTTCCGTTTCCCTGTCTCTTCGCTCTTTTCCCCCGGCCCACCCTCTTTTTCCACCCTCCGCGAGTCACATCCCACTCCGGCCGGGGGCAGCGCCGAGGGAGGGTGCACTTCGCCGCCCTGGACCCTGGCCCCCTCTGCCCAGGTACTGCAGGTGTAGGGGGGCTTACACTGGCGGGACAGGGAGCGGCATCCCTCAGGTGCAGTTTAAGGGAGAGGCAGGTGAACATTGAAAAATAAAATTAAAATTCAACGAAACTTCATCTTCCAGGAGGGAGCCGCAAAGGGGGAGTGCCGTCCAACCCCCGTGTCGACCTGGGGCAGTCCTGGTTTAATTTCGCGAGAAACTTTCGCGGAAAAGGGAGCCGAGAGAGATAGGGAGAGGGAGAGAGAGAGAGAGGTCCCGGGCAATTCATCTCGCCGCATCGCTCCCGAAATAATTGATCCCATGGGAGAGGAAAATTGCGAGTCATTACCGGAGGACCGATGGCGTCCCCGGCTATGTGGGGAAAATAAAAACTTCGATCACCTGCCCCGCCGACGAGAGTTTCGAGAGGGAGCCGAGGGCGGACGAGAGTGGAATACTTCTGGCGACTCATCGCGCAGGAATTGATCGCTCCACCGTTTTCAACTTTGAAACTCCCTTTTTGCCCCCTCCCCCGACCCCCCACGGGCAATTTCTCGAAATCCCTGGCGACGCAAAGGGGAAAAAAAAAAACAACTAACGAAAGAAAAAATACCCCACAGAAAAATAAAATCATTCTCCCTATCCGCGCCAAAATGAATTGTATTAATTTCTCCAGGGGTCCTTTTTAAACGAGGTAGCCATTTCTTGCGTAATGCCCGCCTGGGATGTTGTGCGCTAAATGGCGCCTCGCAATTATCCGATTCTATCTACCCGTAATAAGGTTGTAGGTCCCTCGTTTATTTGACCTACTGATCGGGATTTGTTACGCCGCGCCGCCCCCGTTGCATAATAACGTCATCCAATTTGTTGTGCAAGTGTGTCGTTTCCAGGCTTATTGGGAGCGCTCAATTAGTCTAATGACGGCCTGCTCGAAATCACGAAGATGCCGACCGGCCCCGTTACGGTCCCCATTCCTCGTGGAATTTCCTTGTTAAAAGAGGCGAGGATAAATGAATTATTAAACAGAGGCCCCGCCATTTCCGTCGCCCGGCATATTGCGGATTATCATATCTGGACCCGGTAGCGATGTAGGGAATAAATCAGGGCCAATTTACGTGGACTTACGTATGTCTAGCGAGTCGACGTTGATGAAGATCCCCAACAGTGCCAGCAGTCCAGAAACTATAGTTGGCAGCCGATCAGTCTTCATGTTTCCTCCGGCGAGGAGAGCCTTCGAGAGAGTACACGCTCTGTGGCTGAAATAAACAAAAGGGCCCGTTTTATTCCTCGTCAAATTAGGAATGCCCCTCTGGTGATAGTTTCCCAGAGAACGCTGTCCGAAAATCTCCGACCAACCAGGGCCAGAGATCACCGAGGGCATCGGCGTCGAACAATGGCCGCAATATCCGCAATTTTACACGTAATCAGATAATTTAAATGATCGTCCATCCCGTAAACGACCGGCACGTCCAACGATTTCGCAGATAATTATCCCGAATATCGGCCGACCGACTGCTTTTAATTCACAATTAATCCACTTTGATAATATTTGATATAAACACCGGGGCGCGCCACGTTAATATTTACGCGTCGGGGACGTCATCGAAATCCGGAGAATGAGCCGTGGAGACTTACATTGTGACAATCGGCGAAATTTACAGCAATGAATATTAAGTTACGTTCCACCTTAAAACCGGGCAATATGTATTATATATGTATAATAATCTCTAAATTACAAAAAATACAGTAGGGGCATTTCAGCGGGTCCCGTAATTCATTTCAAGGTTTATTCGCCGTTGTTTCCGCGAATGGACTTGAATCGGCGCAAGGTTATAATAAGGAGTCCGAAATTGAAATTGTTGGCCATTCGGGAGGAAAAATTGGCCCGATGTATCTACCACCCCCCGAGGGAGGGCAAACTAATTGGACGGGGTCTCTGGTAAAAAAGGAAAGACAAAGAAGAAAAGAAAACATGAGAAATGTGGACATCGTGACATTCCGCAATTTAAAGGACCGTGGAAATTCGCAGGATCCTTTTTTCATCCTTTCCACCGCTCATTTTTTCCCGAGGTTGACCGAGGTCGGGGACTCAAAAGGCAACCCCATATATATAGGGACGTTAATATCTCGAGGTTTCGTCAACAGAGTTGGGATGCTGTCCAAACAGGCTCTTATTTGGCTTGGATCGGCTATCATGTCGTGGGAATGACTTCTTCGACGGGGGGAAAATTGATAAGAGCGTCGGTTCTAGGGGGTTGAGGAGAGCTTGGCCGCTGGGGGGTAGGGGGTGCAAGGTACGGCTAATTGGACGGGGACTTCATTGCGGGATCCTGTGTTTCTCTAGGCGACACACGTCCCGAAGGGGTGGACTGCCCATCGCAGGGGTGTGCCAAGAAACGGAAATGCCGGCCCCCGTTTTTGGCACCGGAGACTTTGGGGATGGGGTGCCACCCCGATGACAGCTCGATGCACCCTCCGATGACCCTCTGCAGTGGGTTTGACAATTAAGTCCACCCGCGAGTTTACAATTAGAAAAAAATTCTTATTTATCCCAGAGTAATACCAACGCGTTATCGCATAATTCTAAAATATCCGATGGACCTCAATAGTTGGAGGGAATTCCTCCCCCGGGAGAGGGGATCCCCTTATCAAGAGAGAATTTCCTCACAAGTGGAGGCAAGTCTCCATTTTTAAACCCACCCCATCCGCCCCCGTGTCCTGCCACCCTTGCAGCTTAAAAGCCGATCCGAGGCTCCATCGACTCGACCCTGTCTCGCGACATTCCCCTCATTTCAACCCTCGGCGCGCCCTCTTTTCATCTGGCTCACGTTCCTCCGCAAAGTCGGGTAATCCGATTTATTTGTCCCGCGAAAATTTCCGCAGTGTCCCCTGATTCTTATTTAAAAATGTACCTGGCACCCCGACCCTCCTGGGAGGGATGCATTTATTCCCCGATCGAGCTCCCCATGTGCGAGGGCGGTACATGGGCCTGCACATGCACTCGGGGAGAAGGTACATGGGCGAAGCCGCTCCTCCGTAAAGAATAGTCCTGTCTTCCTTTCCGCTCGACCGGAAAATTCAATTATTTGTTATGGGAAACCTCTTAAACTAAAATCCCCGCTAGGGGAGACCTCGAGGCTTCGGATCCCCTGGACTTTTCGCGTTTCTCGGGGCTGAAAATTATTCTTTTCTCGAAAAAAGAGTCCTTCCTCTCCCGGCACATCTGGACATTCACTCCAGGTCGCCAGGACGAACGGCGGACGATTCGGTTCCCGGGGGAAAATCTCGCGCTTCGTTTTCCCACCACCCCACCCTGTAATGAGACCCGATGCAAGACTGTCCTGCGATAGAAATATGAAAATATGACCCATCCCGTAGAGTGGGCTGCGGCCTGCAAAATTCCTGGAAATGGAATATTTTTGCGGAAAACGCTCCCATTATGTCGCGCCGGGAAGTCTGAGCAAATGCAAGACAAAGGACAAGAATACGCAGATAGACTCGACCTACCGCCCTCGATTCCTGGACTTGATCTTGCAAATATCGTCCTTGCGCAAAAAAGCTCAAAATTTTTCTCGTCCCTACGAAGAAAAAACCCATGACGTTAAGAAACTCGCGAGTGCCTCGGTAACTAGGTTACGTAATTTGGCGGGGATTCGGGCGGGAAGGATCGATATGTCAAGTGGCTTGTCAAGAGCCGAGATATTGGTCATAGCGCGGCACGCAAAACGCTCCTTTACGGCGAAAAAAGAGAAGAAAGCCGCCATTGTTGGGAAGCACGGCGGCCCCGGCTTTACGGGATTAAGTCATTTCCCGTACGGGCATTTCTCCTCGCCGTCCCAACGGTAAGTGGCCATTTTACCATAATTAAAGAATTATTTTAAACGACACTCGCTCATCCATTGCATACAATTTTTATATAATTACCCGGCCATTCTTGAGCGACTCGAATCTACAGTCAAGGATGAATTCACTCCTAAAATTCATTCTCATTTCTTTTGTTTCATCCCAAGCATAATCGCCTCTTCCAACGTAGATTCCCGAAGAGAAGTTTGACGGGGCTTTGCGGAGGGAAATGTTTGGATCCCCGGAGCTCGCAAGGCGTCCAACCAGCAACGGACCAATCTGTCCGTGATCCCAAAACCCCCGGAATGGCAACGACAACTATCCGAGCCCGTCCTTCAGATCAAGCAAGGATTTGTTCCTCGGCATCCCCTTCGGCCGTACGGATCCGCCGGGGATGAGAAACGGGGGTGTTCTTCCGCACCTTTCCGGGCCCCCATTCTGACGTCCTTCGAAATATGTTTTTCAATTTCACGCCGGACACCGCGCCGGAACGCTTTCCGCATCGTCAATGGAAGCATCGATCTCGTCCAGGGAGAACCGCCTATACGATCCTTCACGCGGACTGGTGGAGGCGCGGAATACAATTCTTCGATTTCACGTCTTCAAGGTTTATCGACAATTATTCCTCCCAGAAAAAAAAGAAAAAAAAATCATACCGACTCTAGGATATCTCCAGAGCCCATCTGTGCACGGCGGGATTCTTATTTAAACTGAAACTGCAATTTAGACAATTCTTCAGGGTGACGGTCCCAGGTCTTCGGGCTACATTCGAGCCGGTTCGATATTCCGATCCCACCCTGGACCCTCAGCCAGCCTCCAGCATCCCGAGTTCCTCTCGGATTTTCATCGTCGATCGTACTTAGCCGGGGGAACGTGATGCGGAATACAGAACACGCCAGGGGGGGAGAGGTAGAGAAAGGTGGAGGGGGCAATGTGGGGGCTTTGTCGTACGAAAAGAATTTCGATTTCTCGACGTTTTCGAAGGGAAGTTTAAGTGCTTCCCCGGCGATTGGACGAGCGTGAAGGAGGGAAGAGGGGCAGAGGACGATGGGGGATGCGAGCACGGGGGCGGACCCCCCACCTGGGGAGGAACGTTCCCCTGCTGGCGCTGCAAAACAGCTCCAATGGGACTTTACGGGCTCTGCGAAGGGAATCAATGGCAAAAGTATATCGAGACTCCCTAAGAACGTTCGCTTAAATGATTCCACCCTGATTCCACCCTGACTTAAAAATATTCCACTGCCTGGTGGAACAATTTGGTCCAACTCCAAAAGTGCATTTAATCCCCAATTTAATTTTCCATCCCCAATTTTGTCCCACCACCTGGTATTATCGTTCACTGGCTGCAGTTACCCCCGTCATGGAGGGTGTACGGAAAAGCCACCTCCACGCAGCCCCCGGCGCGACGAAACACGGAAATGATTTTAAACGTCGGTTTTCCGAGGGCCGGGGAAAATTAAACCGCCCCCCGGAGATACGTATCAAACAATTGAAACGCATTTGCGGGGCAGCGGAGGCGTGACGGGGGTCGCGGGGGTGGAGCGTGGGGGGTAATTTACGGGGCGCCATCGGTAAAAGACGTCCGAAGCGTCTCGGCGGCTTCGGCAACCCTGGAGGGGCCGACCTAACCTATCGGCGCCATTATCGCGTACCCTGCGGTTTTAAGTTATCGCGCGGCACATAAGGGGTGTGGCCCTCTCGCCCCCCTGATGGTATTGCCTCCTCTGGAGCACCCCTTTTCCACCCCCGCACCCCCGGCCGACGTCTCCGCTTCCGGCGCGATAACCGCGGCCTGTTTGTACAAAGCGTTATGCGCGGCCTCGTTGCGAATATTCCGCAAGGGTGCAAAAACCGCGGCCCACCCCCTGCAGGGGCCAGGGGGGGCGGAGATACGTGCCGATACACGGCCGGCGTTTTCCGCGACGCGGAATACGTCGTTACCGCGTGTCGTCGGGGGTCGAGTACGCGCATAAGTCACCATCCCCCTCGGCTGCTCCGAAAAAAAAAGAGAGACCGACGGATGGCACCCTCTCCGGGGGTGAGAGAGACGGGGTGAGAAAGACTCGAGAACGGCGAAAGCAGTTCCGCCCGGGCGGGCTTTCCGTGCTTTATACGGCCGGCCGTTACGATAAAGATAGGGAAAATAGTCATACCGCACCCTATGCTTCGGTTTTACTCCCTTTCCCCGCTATCTGCGGCCATTTTCCGGCCCCGCGGGGCCGCGGTTTGCGCGAGTTTCGGCCCCGCGCCCCTAATGCATCGGCGTTACTTTCCTCCTCCGTTTTCCGGGAAAACGATATTCGATTTTCCAGGAATCGGCACAGAGAAAACAACACACACGTCAATTTATATTACTCCACGTCTATT